CGACAAAGAAATATGTCAAGTCCAAGAGAACTAGGGAAAAGAATAATTAGGCCAACAAAAAGATTAGTAGTGGAAAACACAAAGTCGAAGTATTACAGAGAAGAACCTATTCGATTTGGCATAAATTATATTGCGCAGTCAGATAACAGCAAAGGAAGCCAACAGATGAGCCAAGGCACGGGAGCACTGAGAAGGGAGATGATCGGAAATAGAGGGGATGTAAATAGGAAGTAAATAATTGTGATAATATTGTTTTTGTAAATTTTTGTTTGTAATTATTGTATATCCCCCTTTTTGTTGCTCACATTGTATTTTGGCCCTTTGTATGTATTTTCAATGTTTTATTTGTGTTGGCTAGTAGTATTTTGAAGTCCACCAAGTCTAGTTGGAAAAGTCGGAAACATAGTCCCGACTTAATTAAAGAAGGGAGGTGTTAGGGTGGCGGCTTAGTATAAAAGGCGAAGCCTTTTAGTAGTCGGAGAGTTAGTTGTTAGTCTATAGTCAGTCTAGTCTTAGTGTTATTCTAGTCGGAGCCAACGCATAGTCTCGCCTATTTCTATTGTATTGTTGCTTGTGATAAACCTTTGTTTGTTAGTCGAGTCTTTCTGTTAGTATCGGACACACCGCAAGTCGATACGTAACAGGCACCCAACCAACGTAACAGGCACCCAACCTATTACCGGGATTCCGGGATTTACGGGATTAATCCCGCGGGATCCCGTCCCGGTCGAATTTTGAAAACCAAATCCCGTTCCGGGATCCCGGGAATTTTTTTCAAATTTACGGGATTTATAATTACTCCAGTAAACTGCCTGCGGAGCTGAAAAAGAAAGAAATCTAGCTTCTTGGCCGTCCAAAATTCTCAAAATTTATGCCTGCGGCGCTGAAAAAAGAAGAAATTTGGTGACTTTCTCTTCAAAAATTCTCAAAATTTTAACCTGCGGCGCTAAAAAATGAAAAAAGCTGGCTTCTTAGCCTTCCAAAAAAAGAAAAATTCGAAAAGTTTTGCCTGTGGTGGATGGATTACGAGTAATAAGAATGGATTTTTGGGATTAACAGAGATATAGAGGGATTATGAGGTGTACGTTGGTTTGTAAGGTTTAAATCGTCTTAAGTTCAATTCCGGAGGATTAAGAGATATATGATGTTGGGGTATTAGAAAAGGATATCATGAATTTGGGATTAACACCAGATTAAGAGGGAGTTGGAGGATAATAGGGGGTATCAGGGATTTATGGATTAAGAGGTATATCGAGGATCTGAGGATTAAGAGTATATTGAGGGATTAGAGGAATAATCCCCATATATCCATTCAAATCCAGTTGAGCCTCTAAATCCGCTATATTCGATCTAACCCACCGTTCTTCAAATCACCCTTTACCACTCCAAATATACCGATATCACCCTAAATCCACCTATAAGCATTCAAATCCTCTTAATCTCTTTTAATCCACTGATATCCCTCTTAATCCTCTTATATCAATTAATTCCTCCCTAATCCGTCGAAATCCACCGATATTATTTCCAAATCCGCCAATATTCAACATATTTATAATTAAAAAAAATTTTTATGAAAATCCCGGAATCCCGGCGGGATCCCGGTAAATTTGAAAACGGGATTACCGGGATTCCGGGATTTACGGGATTAATCCCGCGGGATCCCGTCCCGTACAAAATTTTGAAAAAAATCCCGTTCCGGGATCCCGGGAATGCGATTTTGCCGGACTCTAACCTAAACCTTTAGGCTTGCTTGACAATAGAGTCTCGGCGACATAGCATCGAAACGCCTTTTTCTATGCCATAACTTTTATTTCGATCATTTCCAGAAATTTTCTTTATCAATTAGAATCTATATTTGTTTTTATTCTTTTTATTATCTTTATGAAAGGATCCGATCATTTCTTAGAAAGTTACACCCGCCTAAGTATGTTAAATCACGATTATTCGCAGTTAACGGCTCCTAACTTTTTTGAAAGACGGTAAAACTAAACAATTTCTATGAACAAAATAACCAGCACATCCAGAGCTTTTAATTAAAGCAAAAATTATTTGGATTGATTTAAAAACAAAAAAGTTATATCCCAAAAACTTTCGTTTTGATGCCATATTTTAAGACTCTTTCGTTACCTGGTAGATTTTAGCCTAAACCTTTTGAAGCCTAAACCTTTAGGTTTTTAACCATTTGAGTCTCATCACGCTCCCAAATTTTATTTTTATTTCTAGCTTTTTTTTATCGTTTGGTCTTCTTAATTAGTGTATAAAGATGAACCAGAACTGATATTCTGGTAATAGAAATCCCATAAATTAAGAATCACATAGATATTTTTTGAATTTATTTGTGATCTGTATATTTTATAAAGTTTTCCTCTAGAGCTTGAGAATTACTTGCCAAGTCAGGGTATTCTAGAGGCACTAAGATGAGAATAAGCATGCAACTTTAGAAAATCCACTTGTTAATTATAGAGGAGATCTAGGGCTACAAATTGATATATAATAAAGCATAAGATCGACTGATATTTTACTTTATATTTGATTGATAAAAAAGATGCAACTTTTCGATCTTTAATTTTTTCCATCTCTATTTATATTTTTATTTGTTTTTGTATCATTATTTGTTGTAAATGTTCCTTCGCTCATTGATGCCTTCAATTCATTATCTCCAAATTCATCATCATCTAAAGAACTTCCAGTCTGTCGACGACGTCTATCAAATTCTGCTTCACGAATTGCAGCAAAAGGACCAACACGAATTGCTGTTTGTGAATGACTTTTTGTTTTTAACGATTTTTTCAATATTTCGGCAGCTGTTAATTTTGCCTAAAAATTAAAAAATGTTTGAGAATTACTTTCCGAGTCACTATTAATTTTTGGTCTATTACACAATATCCGTCCAATCGACTTACGTCCAATCAATGTTTATATGTACGTCCAATCACATTTTTATCATTTATACTTAAAAATAAATATACATAATTTAACCGCATTCGTTTCAATTGAGGCGGCAGAAGGAAAATATCTTCACGCCTGCTGTTACACATGTCCAAATTTTATGAAGTTTGTTGATTCATTTGTAGATATGGATAGTTTAACTCGAATGCTTCTTAGAACCAGTGATACGCAACTGGTACGTGATGGTACTGCAACTTTATATAGAAATCGTTCTTTAATTGTAATGTTCAGTATTTAATGTAAAAACATTAAAATCGTTTCTTAAATTACTAATATTTTAAATGAATTTCTGTTAGCCCTTGAGCAAGGCGTTATAATAAATAAAAATTATTTTGATTATTTCTGAATTTATTTTTTTATTGCACGTATAAAATTTTGTTTGGACGTATAAACTTTGATTGGACGTTTTTAGTTTTTTATTAAATAAAATACTTTAGTATTTATATGCTCTTCACTCTTCCCTTTTTGTGTATTTGAGAGAAATGTTGGTTGTTGTACTCCTCCATTTTGTTTCGTTTCCATCATAATATTTTAATTTTTAAAATTAAATAATCTAAATTGTTTGAAGAAAATTTAAATTTAGTGGAGAAATTTCTATAAAAATAATTCTTTGAGGATTTTCGAAATAAATATAATTCGAATATTTAAAAGTGAGGTTAATTTAAAGGAAGGTAATTTTTAAATTAATTAGATAATTACTCTTTGATTTTCTTTTAAATAAAATTAGTAGATTCCTTTTAATCAAAAAATTTTATTAAATAAATTAAAAATTACAAAATATTTGGAATATATTTTATAAAACAAATTATATAATTTAATTCCTTTATTTAAAATAAAATTTATTAAAGAAAGAAAATGAAAGTAAAAAATTTTTTTATTAATAATAAATTTAATATAAATTTATTTTTCAGCTTGCACATTCACACACCTTCCATAAACACGCACCTTCCCACCCTTTAACGATTTTTTTAGAAAAAATTTTTAATATTAACCGCCCTCTAAAAATTTTTTAAATATTTTATTTTTAATTTAAAATTATGAGTATTTACTAAATATTTAATTATTTAATTTTAATTAAATTAAAAAATAAATAATTAAAATAATTTCTATATACAACCAAATAAATTATTTATTTTATATTATTTTTTATTTCTAATTTTCATTTAATAATTCTAATTTTCATTTAATTCTAATTTTCTAATTTTCATTTAAATTTCATCTAATAAAAATTTCATCTAATTTTCAAATTTCATCTAATTTTCATTTAATAAATTATTTATTTTATATTATTTTTTATTTCTAATTTTCTCTTAATAATTCCAAATTTTTGATTATTAATTCCAAAAAAACAGTTTTATATTTTTTATTGTTTTACACTTTATATGGAAATTAAATATTATTAGCTCTTATTTTTTTATTTAACTTTGGTTGTCAACGTAACAAAAGAAAATAAAAATTGGGGAATTGAAGAAAGAAATAAATAAAAGAAATTTAAATTTTTATTTAAAATATTTAATTATAATTTTTATTAATTTTTTAATTAAATAATTTTTAAATAAATTTAAATGAATAATTTTGGTGAAATTAATAAATTTGGATGAAGATTACTTTATGATATTTACAAAAATTATTTTTTATTTCAAAATTTCAGATTTAATTTATTAAATATATCCTCTAAAAGGAGTTAACTTATTTTATTAATTTAAATTTTGAAAATATTCGAAAAGAGATTAAGTTGAAAAAGCGGAAGTAAATTTTAAAATAAAAATTTTAAAGAAAGAAATAAAATATAAAAATATTAAATTGTAGTTTTCCATAAAAGTTTTTTTTCGATTAAATTTGAATTCACAATAATTTGACATTTATTTTTAAATGTAGTTTTTTGAAATTGTAAATGTGTTTTTGGATGTCATGAGAAATGTTGATGTTATTCTACTAGTGAATAAATTTAAAAATTTATATAAATTACTTAAACTTCCGAAAATTTAAAAATATTGTAAGGATAATTCACATAGCATTTTAAAAGCTTAAGAAAAAAAGCATTAGTTGATGCCCCGTTAGCTCAGTGGTAGAGCTCCTGTTTGTATGTTGAGCGAAATCGCTTACAATAACTGCAAGGAGATCGCAGATTCGAATCCTGTCCGGTGGCTAAGCTTTTGTATATTATTTATTTATTTTTATCCAAATGTGTAACTCCATATAAAAATGCCTAATAATAAATATATCCATCTAAAATACAACAAAAATCTAGCAATTTCTAAAAATTAAATTTAATTCTTAATAAAAAGATTTATTTCTTTTCTGTCTCATCTAATTTCCTTCAATTACTTTTAAAAATAAATTTAATATTATTTTTTGTTTTAAGCTAAAATAAATACAAAAAAATCATTTACGCGCAATTTTATTATATATTTATATGTACACATATCTTCTCTTCTTTTTCTTCTTTTTTATTTTTAATAACAAAAAACGTAAACTCAATTTCCTCTTTTACTTTTTACATTTTGCTCTCGATGAGGAAAAAAATAATAAAAGAAAAAAAAAGAAAAACATACGGGCACATACAAACCCCTTAAAGGCACTACAGGCTTTTAGAGGTGTGGGGAAATGAAAAAAAAATAAAGAAAAGAGAGGAAGGAATGGCTATTTTTTTGTTTTAAGTTGGCCAAAAAATTTAAGAAAATATATGTTCGGATATTTAGTATATTTTATAAAAAAAATTTTTTGTTAAAAGATTTCACTAAAATTTATATATTTTAGACAAATATATGTATATTTTAGTTTTATTGTCCAGAAAATTTATAAATATTTTATATTTTTTCTAACAACAGGCAAATTGTTTTTTTAGTTTTCCAAAAATTATTAAAACCTTTTTTAAAAAATGTCAAAATATTTATTTTGTTATTAATTTGAAAATTAAAAAATTTTTGACTTTTTAATTCATAAAATTAATACATATTAAAATATTCAAAAATGTTTATTTAAAAAATAATAAAAAAAGGAATACAGTTATTTTTATTTCTGAAGTATTAACTTTAGGTAGATAACTACCCCCTTTTGTTCTAAAATTTTGTTAAAATATTTTTTTTGAAGAATTAATTTTTTAAGCAAAATTTAATTTAATATTTTTATTTATTTTTTCTATTGATTTAAATAAAACAAACAGAAAACAAATACTTTTTTTTTGAATTTTATGGCATCGCCCAAGGCGCCAATTTTCTTTTTTTTCACTCTTCTCTCCCTCCTTTAGTTAAAAGTCGTTCAAATTTTCTTTGTTAATTTTATTTGTTAAAAACTTTTAAAAAATATTTTCTTAATTTTTTTATTTAATAAAAAATATTTTATTAAAATAATTAAATTATAGAAAAAATTGTAAAAAAATATTTATTTATGAAAATAATTTTAAAAATAATTAAATAGAAATATTTTTATTTAAGTAAATAATTGAACAAAAAAGTTTTTTAATTTAAATAAATTTCAAAAACAGAACAAAAAAATATTTCGAAAATGGTACTTATACTTTTTCCCCTACCCTTCCTCGAAAATTAAGAAAATATGTAGTTCATTCGCCGTTTCTTGTCGAGCTTACTTTGTCGGATTATTGCCTGACCAAATAACCAATTGTTCTCTTAATTAAATTTTAAAATTTAATGAAATTGACTAAATTAAATATATTAAAGACATATTTTATTCTTCTTAATTTGATCAGTACACCTCCATCTCATAACTTGTTAAAAATAGATTTTATCTGGATAGTCTTGAACCATTACATTCACCCAGCTTAACGAGTCGCATCAAATAAGCTGAGCCACACTCAACCTCCTGTCAAAGAAGATATGACACATTTATATTTATTAATGTCCATATTTGGCTTAATTCTGAGATACCTATACATTATTTGCGAGCTGAGTAATTTTGATATAAATTTGTAAAGAATTTTTAGTGTACTAAAAATTAAGTGCGCTAAATTTTTTTTAAAAATTAGTGTACTAAAAGATAAATACAACAAATTTATTTTTTAGAAAATTAATTTATAATTAAATAATGGAAGAAGAATATTCAAAAGAACAACAATTAATTAATCAAATAACAATAAAAGTACAACAAATAAATAACAATAAAAGTACAACAACATCGAATGCAGCAACAGCTTTATTTACAAGAAGAAGATTAATTAGTCGTCGTTTAAGTGGTGAAGAATTAACAACAAAAAATAATAAAATAAAAATAAATGAAGAAGAAGGAAGAGAAGGAAGAGGAGAAGAATATTTAATTAATAATAAATTAATTAATAATTTTAATTCAAATAATAATATATCTACTTCAGCTCCACAAACACCTAGAGATGGGATTATTGAAGGATTTCAAAAAAGGTAAAAAAATTTTTTTAATAATTTATTTATCTTTTAAATTAATTTAAAATTTAGCTAAGGATGGTAAAAATCCTAAAATTTTGTAAAATTCTTTATTTACTCCTTAAAAATTACACAAATATATTATTTTTTTTAATTTACAAAATAAAAATTTTGTGACAAATTTTTGTAACAATTTTTTAAATTAATCCGTTTAAAACTTCACTTTTTTAACCTAAATTCCTAAAAAAATTTTATTTTTTTAAATATTTACACTTCCTTTTTTTATTTTAATGTTTTTTTCGGTAATATTTTGGAAAAATAAAATTTTTTTAATAAGAAAAATTTTAAATTTAAAAACAATTTTTTATTTATTTTAACATTTTATTAAAAATATCTTCTATAGCACGCAAATTTATTCAAAAATATTTTTGTAAAAATTGGCCTGTTTTTGTTCTTTTAATTAAAAAATATTTTTTTTATTTTTAAAATTTAAAATTAAAAATCTACTTAAGTACATGCTATTTATTATATTTTTTTTGTTTTTGTGATAAATTATTTGTTTATTATATATTTAATTATTGTTTTTGTGCTTGTTTTGACATTTTATAATTTTTATTTTTATATTTTTTTCTACAAAAATACAAACAATCTTTTTTAAAAAATATTTTTTAATTTCCTCTCTTTTCAAATTTTTTATTTCCTTTTTTCCACTCAAAATTCCCACACTTTTTATAAAATATAAATATTTATTTGCCTATATTCTACTCGATAAAAAAATTTTTTAGAATTAATTGCCAACGTCAATAAATTGAATTGACAATTTTTTGGGTAATTAGTTTGTTAAAATTAAATAAATTGTGCCAATTTAAGTTAAAAAAGAGAAGAAGAATTTAAAATAAAACATTAAAAGATTTTTTTGAATTCTTAAAAATTATTCTTTTTTTTCTAATTTAGATTAAACATTTATTCACTCATTAATTTGTATGAAGTTCTAACCCCTATACATATTCTAACTCAAAAAATAACCTTAATTTTATCTAATTTTTACTATTAACCCTCCCCCCCCCCCTCTTTCTCGCCTTTAACAATGAAAAAGTAAAATCTGAATATTATTGACTTTTAAACTTTCTAAATAAAAAAATATTTTTTTAACAATTCCTCTCAATTTATTCAAACAAAATCCAAAATTTTTCATCTTTTTTCCAATTTCCTTTTCTGTTTAATTTAGTCCTTTTCTCTACATATTTGCTGCTAGTCTATTTAATATTTAAATAGAAAATTTTTTTTGGCTATTTTTGGAATATTTAAATATATATTTATTTATTAAAAATAAAATTTATTTTTAATTTTTAACAACATTAAAAGAAAATTTTATTTTCCAAATTTCCTCATTTTTTAATTTTATATTTAATAATTTTATTTTATATTCAATTAATTATTACTCTATTTATTTAGTTTATCCAGAAATAAACATAACAGAATTACTACTAATTTACTCTATAATTCATCAATTAAAATTTAAAAAGTAGTCAGTCCCCCCTTCAATTTTTAACCAAAAAAATTATTTAAATATTTTTTTTGTTAACATTAAATTGTCCTTTCAATTTTTTTATTTATTTTTCTCCCCCATTGTTAGTATTTATTCCCTCCTCACGCTAAAATATAAAAACAACTTCCGCAATCCTTTAGAAAAAATTTTATTTTTTTGCTTAATTTGCGTGTTACATTACATTTCTTTTTTCCAACAAAAAATTTTTTTGGTTAGTCCAATCAGTTTAAATATTTTGGAAAATTCTGTCTTTTAAATTTTATTTAATTTTATCTAAAAAGTTTGGTTTAAAATTGAGGAGACTTTTTTAATAAAACATTTTAATATTTAATAAGGAAATAAAAAAATATTTTTTAAACTTTTATTTTAATCTTTTTTTAAATTAATTAATTAATTTTTTTGAAATTAACCAAAAAATTTTATTTTCTTAATTTTATTTTTAAAGAAAACTTTAAAATTAAACATTATTTTTTTAAAATTATTATATAAAAATAAATTTAATTTTAATTTTTAAATAAAATACAGATTTACATATATTTAGTAAATTAATTTTTATTTAAAAAATATTTTTTTATTTTTAATTTTCCACCATTTATTTTGTAATTAATACTTTAATATTTTTTTAAAAGAAAAAATTTTAAAAACTGGATATCTGATAAATAAATAAATATATTTTTTCACTCAATTTTTATGCCAAAATTATTTTCTCTTTTTTTTATAAAAATAAAAGGAAAATCTTTCTAAAATAACTAAATAACTTACTCAATTTTTTTCAAAAAAAAAACAATTCACAAAACCAAAATGGCCAAAACATAATTTTTAAATGCCGTTTATTTTTATTTCTTCAAATACCAAATTGACCGTAAAAATAAATTTAAAATGTTAAAGAATTTTATTTTTGGGTTTTTTAAATATTTATTTTTTAATTATTAAAACAATTTTGAATATTTAAATAAAAATAAAATCCTTTAAATATTTTTTAAAATTCTCTAAGGATGAACTTAAAAATAATTAAATAATTTATTATTTTTTAAATTTGTTTGTATGATTGAAAATTACATTTTTCAAAATCGAAACTTCTTTCTTTTTTTATAATTTTCTCTTTTTTTATTGACTTTCAAAAACACTTTTTTTCACAAAAAAAACTTTTTTTATTTAAAAATTTACTTCCCTCGCTAATAAATACTCAGACTTGGTCCTTCCTCCTCCTCCTTTCCCAAAAAGCTATAATAAGGCTTTTTAGAAA